GAAATATTGCATCGATGTATCGCAGAGAAAGTAAACAATCGATTTTTCAGAAGCAGTCCCATCGTCCGCCGCCGGAAGGGCATGGGCTCGTGATAAAGCAGGGATTTGAGAAATGTGCCAATGCACGGCCATGGACCGGCGCGATAAACATAACGAGACTCGTTCCGAGGGCTGTCTGCTTATCGCACTCGCGGACGCACGAGATTTATTGCATACCATCCACATTTTTCAATATTCATTTATTTATTCCATATAGCTTTCAGCTATTTCATCCTTTATGTGTTAATAATCTATACAGGGAGATATAATCAAAGGAAACGAAATATTCTTGGTCTCTAAACTGCTTATTACCTCATCATGTTGTTCTCTAATATAGGGTCGCTTAATACAGGTAGGTCTCGCCAGAGTCCCCGCCCGCCGCTGCCGCTTGCTACTGCTGCCGCCCGCTACTGCACAATTATATTGTATCTGTCGGAGTCTGGTCCGTGGCCACGAATTGCTTACGTAAGCCAAAGTAGCTAAAATTCGCTGCGTAAAGGTGGCTCGTTATTGATTTATTACCCTGTTTGTGATTTCTAATAACAAAGAGGTGTGCCCTTATTTGATTCAAGAATATGTTGTGGTGATGTAATGATGTCTAAAGTTACTCGTACCTACTATCAACAGAGCGCACTTTATGCTACACTGACAATAAAAACAAGGTAGGCGTACACATATAACATTTGTTCAATACTACCCCTAAATAGGGGTGAAACGGGGTATCAAAGATTGTGACGCGTGGTGTGATTTACTTCAAACTTGGTTTAAATATTAGAAATATAAAATAAATAAATACGTGATTCTAGGTTTTTCAAAACAACCCCTAAATAGGGGTATGTTAGGGTTTCAATGTATTTTTACAAATTTTTTTCTATAGAAGATCGCATTACTTACATTTGCAAACTTCAATATTTTTAATTTGTGTTTTAGTAGTATATAATGCGTGTAAAAATTTTATTCCAACGGGCAACAGCTAGTGACACATAAGCAAGATATTTTCATTGTGTACACAAAAGTACTTAAAAGTAGTTTCGGCGCTTACCATTACGCACGCTGCGCAGACGCAGCACCATTGTCGAGCGGTGGACAGGTGGAGCGTTACCGACTCGGGACTTTGATGATGCAAAAGATTCCTCTCAACTGTCACGTAAATGCCATATAAGGGACATGTGGTACAGGTACCACTCAAAAGGTATAAATATGGTGTTCGTTCGTTTTGAGCTCTCTACAATTATTTATGAAGTTGTAAACAAGTCATTGAATTCATTGTGTCCTACATCATACGTAACCGTTCAGATTATTTGTGTTGCAAAAACGAGCGATCCGTTTTGTGGACTGTTTAGGTTTTCGGGTTTCCCTCAGAGAAAAGTTTAAGTAGACTGGTATCATGGGTTATGGGTCAACCTATTACAAACTCGATTTTTTTCCCGAAGTAACGTATGTTCGAATTTTCATTACACTGAAAACCGAATTATAACGAAACTGTTGTTCTTTCAGGATATGTTGGATGTTTATCGCAAAAACACGATTAGGTTTGATCAAGTTAGATTAAGTTAGGTTTAAAAGAAAAACCATTTTCCTCTCAAAATGACTTTCGAGGTTATGAAAATTCGAGCAAACGTTATTTCTGGAAAACGTCATTTCGGACTACTGATAGGTACCGTGACCGTATCGTGACTGTGGCATCACAGTACATTTGCTCAAATAGTTTGCATGTCCCTAAAAATATACATAATTTCATTAAGAAAAAAGATCCAAAAAAGATCCAAGCTTCGTATAAGTAAGGTAAACGAATCTTTTATCGGGAACTGTGTACGTTTTTACTATAAGATTTCGGAGCATATATTAAAATTATCATTTCCAAAGTTACATTAAAAATATTTTAATTGAAAAAATACTATCACAAAATTGAAGAATACGTGTTAGATAAAGCTGCATGGAAAGACGACTAGTACGAGTTTAGATTCCACACAAATTTGATTCAAAGTCTATTATTTTCATAGCATTTATTTATTTGAAAAGAGCAATCCCAATCAAAGAGTTTCTTGCTCGTTCTTCTCAGGGAACTCAGCACAGTGAACGAGCAGTATATAGCTTAAAAATGACGTTTTCGAGTGGAAATTTATTTTACCTAACGAATAAAATGATTGTTTGACTTCACTTTGATATTAATCTATTCCAAAAGGCAGATCGTGACAATGGACAGCATGGCGTTCCTGTCTCTTAATTGTATGCCGTCGTCGTCGCCGGACACGCACTCAAATGTGTTTACATTCGAAACCTTGTTTGTCACAATTTACGCCTGAAAGAGTTGTTACACCCCTGCCCCGCGTCCCACCGCGTCCCACCGCGTCCCACCGCGTCTCCCGCGGCCCCCGCGAGCATGCCGCTGACGGCGCTTAATATCAGAATGGATGGGATTCAATTAACACGATTCATTTCATGAAAGGCTTGTTTTCGCAACTGAGTGTACAGTTATTGAAACGATCTGCAAATAAATGAAGTACGAGAATCGCATATTTACGTAATACTGCATTCAAAATAAGAGTTTTGTTGTAATTTATGCTATAAAATAAAAGAGAACACTACAAGTTTGTTAGTTAACTGTAAATATTTAATTATGAAAGCCAATAGTTAATTCGCAAAATACATTAGTGATCTCGCCACACACCCATACAATAAATCTGTTAGTTCAACAACACAACAACAAAAAGGACAGCTCCAGAAAACGGCTCCGTACCTGCAGCAATCTAACAGCGAAATCTATTGTAGCCAGCATTAATGCATTGGGCCACTATCTTTATGCGGTGGATTAAGGTCGTTGGACGGCTGGTAATTCAGTTAAGTTTTAGCGCAGCGAGTGCGAAAGATCTATGGCAGTGGCGCCGTTCGCGTTTCTTCCAACGGAGCCCTAAACAGCGTCGGAATAATCGCGCGAATAAATCAGCGGCGTTTTACAGAGGAGCCGTTGTTCTCTGGTGTTAATGAAGACAAACAGCACTGTTTCGGTTAGTGGGGTCGCAAACACACGACACGGCACACACACGACTAGCTTACACACCTTCGTCGGCAAACATCCGCTGGTACATCTCGTCACAATCTGCGCAACAAAACATAATGTCACTAGTGTCGCAGTGTGTGATGTCCTATCAACAAACTTTAACCTTTTCGCGGTGAACCTTTGGAGTTAGTAGACTTTATTTGGCGCTGTTTCGGGCTCTTGACCTATGTCTGTCAACACAGAAAGGAAAAAGGTTATGTACTCGTATGTGTTTCAAAAATGAAACAACCTTTTTCCCTCATGTCGCACTGAAAAGAAAACAAGCTCGACTGTAGGTAGGAAAGACTAAGATACCCTCGAATGCCGAATTTGGTGCGTTTATTTGTTTGTAACTGAAACACGCCGCGCATGGGCGAGTTTATTTTTCCCACGGAATCGCAACCTAGTGGAAATGTATCAAAACCAGTGTCAGACAGCGCTACACGCACACGTATTACACTACTAAGGTAATATAATCTGGATTGTATGTACGAGTACCTATAATTATCAAACGAAATTAGGCCTATGGTATTATTTTTTCCCTTTCGGGTTGGGAATTACACTTATTTGAATCCAGTTGGGTTTACTATTACTAACGTCGTAACTGATTACACTTCAGCTAATTATATAATAAGATAATGAACTCTTTGGCTTAGGAGTGCCGTTGCTCAACACTAGATGGCACAATTATTTAATAGTTCTTATATGACTCACGTAAAGCTAGGAATCCTATAAAATACGAGGAACATTCGTCTAGGTCTATCGAATCATAAAAGATTGAACTTTATTATCAATGTAATGTAGGTTTTTATTTGCCATAATGGCACAAAATTATCAAATATTCAAATAAAACAGTCACAAATATGTTTAATTTAGTGAAAATAACACTTACCATGATAGGAAACGTTTTTAATATTGCTATTATTTCGACAACAAAAATACAATAAACCCACTCAGATTCACTAAATATTTTTTTGGTTTGCTTTAAGAGAGCGTTGAAGCACAACAAATATTGGTTATGATAGAAATATCATTATAATGGTTACAAGGAAACGCCCACTTCACATTTCCACAAGTTTGTGATTACGTGATTACTTCATAGAGGTTAGTTGTGGTGGATATCATTTAGTGTATGTCGTACATTTGACCAATTCTTATGATCACGGACAGCGAGCCGCGGCGCAGGCACGAGTTGCGCGACACCAAGGTGAAGAGGAGTCTCACTTCATTCGAGGTTGGCGTGTTCGACTGACGCTCCTCTGCCGCCGAACTGAGTGCCGAATGTAAAACGAATCTCAATTTGACGCCGCGAGAGCGCGAGCACTATGAGGTTATTCGTGTTCGCGCGGAAAGTGCCCCTAAATGACATTACAGGCGTCGAGAAAATTGGCGGAATCGAATTTTCTATTAGCATTTCATTCGTAGAAGTGAGCATATTTTTCTATTCTGCTTCGATTATTTAGATAAACACAACCGCCTTGATAACTTCGATCTGAACAACAGTGCGGTCGATATGGCGATATCGAGCTGCCACTTTTATCTCTGGATTTAAAACAAATTGCTGTTTTGGGTGCGAGCCGCCCGATAAATTCAAAGCACGCCCATCTGCCTCAATAAATATGTTAAAATGTTTCGTGACAATGGTTCGCTGCCGATTTTGCTACGCGCTTTCCATTCGCGTTTGTACGGTGGATCGGCCGATTTATGCGATGCAAACATTGTTCCAGGGAGTGGCGAAGTCTCAGCTAATACGATTGTTACTAAAAATGCGGTCGCATGCTAGTGCTCGCGGCAGTGCCGCACTGCCGTGGTGCGGCTGAGCCGCTGGTGCCGCGTAAATGTAATTAAACGACTTCATTGTCTCCATTCAGTTACTGTGGAGCGGGCGTCAGTGTACTCCGTAAACTAAGCACGTACTTACCAACAACGTGCAGCGTGACGAAGAACGAGCGTACGGGCTGCGTGGAGACCTGGCACTCGTAGACGCCGGCGTCGCGCTGCTGCGCCCACTTGACGTGCAGCGTCCAGTCGTCAGTGTGCGGCGAGTGCACCGCTTGGAACCGTTGGTCGGACGTGTACGTGTACCCGCCCACCGTCAGGATGTGCAAGTCGCGGTGTCGGATCCACGATACCTGTCCACAGACAACATACACAATCAGTATCCATCGCAATCAAAGTAATGTACATACGTGTATGACAAAAAAGGCAGGAATGGTTGCTTTATTGAAGCAAGTGTATTGAATTGAATTACTTATTGTAACGGTTTAATGTTGCGTATTGGAAATCAACTTCCTTGTTATATTTGTTTGTTTTTCCAAACAATGTTACGGCTAACTGATACGGGGAAATCATCAACCAGCTATGTCTAATATTAATGCCATGTTACCTATTATAATATCGCAAATATTCGAATATTGCAATTTCTGAATTCGGAGAGCTAACGCTAGCGTGTTGAAATTAAGTGCCTACGCATGTAACTACACGGTCGTAAGTCGTAGTCGAACTGCTGTAGAGTTTCATTATGCAAATTTTAATCGAAATCATAATGCATAAAACATACATTAATGGTCACAAACATAGAAGTTATTCGCTTCAAGAATAGTAGCATAGCAAACGGAGCAATTTACGTAGTTTATGTGTCATGAACAAGCAGCATGACGTGTGAGTCGTATATGCGCACTGTTTGGTCAAAGGAATCGGAATGTTTTGTCGCGGCCAATTACAGGCATCTGACAGACACTCACAACAGGTCTCCCGAATGTTAAAAGTGCTTCCTCGATCGAGCAATGGCGTCAATCAACGCCACCGCGCGGTCGGCAACCGTTTGACCGTCCACCGACTAGCGTTTGATGCAAAGTTACAAAACAAACTCCTCAAAGGCTCTTTAAGCCGCGGCTTCGAATTTCCCCATTGACGTCGATTGGCCCAATAACCCGGTATCAATCAGGCTGTCGGCCGCGTCCCCCGCACTCCCGCCCCATCGCCGCGGATCAGTGCACGTCTGAGGGCGCGAGGGTTTTGAGTGTTCTGCATTAATATTAACTGCTGTTTCAGCTGCCTATTCGGATGCAAATCACCAGTCAGCAGTTTATTGTTTCACTCAGATTTAACCGGATGAGGTAGATGTAGGCGAAAGGCGAGTGGGGGCGCCAAAGGACGGGGAGTCTCTTGTTTAATGGCTTCGACATGACGATTTTGTGTTTGTCTAATGTTTCGCGTTACAAATACGCAGGTGGTATAATGAGGGTTTATGTTTATCAGAAAAGACATGGAAAACAAGTTTTATTCCATAATTTTTTATTGATCTACATTTCGTTGAAAGAGGCCCCTATTTATGGAAGAATAATTGAGTTAATGTTTTTCATGAAGTTCGTTCTAGCAAGCAAGCCTGCACAGGGATCTTACATAGAGCGCACTATAAGTTTCCAAAACTGGCCAATTACATAAACAATATTTAAAAAGTAATTACAACATTTGAAAATGGAACTCTTTGGCGGTAGAACGCAGTTTGTTGCATATGACTGTCACTTGTTGTTACATTGTGGCGTCATTTTAGAAATTGGTTGTCTACATCACCACGGATTTAACCCGCGAAAATTTACGTACTATGATTTTCTACGATGCTTTTAGCGATGAAGCACCATGTAAGACGACTATTTGTAGCTAATTTGCAGAATTCAAACGCGGTCGTGTGAATCTCAGTGACAAATTTCGTGATGGTCGCCCGTCTACTGCTGTGAACAACAAAAACATCGATGCTGTGCGCCGTATGATCAAAATAGACAGACATGTGACATACCATGAGATTCGGGCATCTTTAGGCATAGGCATGAGTCAAATACAATCAGCATTTGGGTGTGAAAAAGCTGTGCTCTCGGTGGATCCCACACAATTTGACTGAGGCTCAAAAAACGGATTGCGTCACTTTGTGCAATGCCATGCTTACCAGATTCAACGAAGGGGCGTCAAATTTGGTGTGGGAATAAAACTGGACACGTGGCTACTGTTGCTTTGGATAATCGTTGTACAGTGAATAGTGATTGATACACGACCATTTATTTGCCGGAAGTTGTTGACAAACTCCGTAAAAATAACCATAAATGCCGTATCATCTTACACCACGATAATGCCAGTTCTCACACGGCCAAATAGACAAATGAATTTTCGAAGGTGAACAACGTTGACCTTATAAGCCATCCCGCGTACAGTCTCGACCTGGCACCTTGTGACTTTTATTTATTTCCAAAAATTAAGAACCGTTAGCGATTTTCATCACTTGAAGAGGCTGTCGAAGAGTATGAAAAATATGTGTCTGAAACATTGTCGCAGACGAGTGGCATAAATGTTTTCAAAATTGGTTCATTCGTATGAATAAGTGCATTAACGCTAACGGAGAATATTTTAAGAAACAATAAATGAATTTCTGACCATTTATAGTATTTTTTCTTATTCATTCCGAAAACCTATAGTGCGCCCCACGTATCAAACAGGTACTGACTCAGATCAACTCGTTGATATAAACTTCATCCGGTTCTCAAAAGGCTAGTGCTTTGGGTGAGCGCCCCCGCGTGTAGGTACACCACCCTCCCTATTTTCCAAATAGGTAGGCACCGGAGTTGTTGGCTCGCTCGCATCGCGTTGTGCATTGCACAACTAGTAGTTGCCACCGCCACGCCGTTCACTCTAAAGTATTCCGTTTTGGTAGCGGAGCTGTCGGCAAGCTCACCTCCCAACGCCGAAGCGTCTCTCCAATTTGAAAATTCTTAAGCGGCTGGAGGGACCGGAGGATATTTAACTTATCCTCTACTTGTTCTCTGGACTAGTCCCGGAGATGTCAGATGCAGTTTCCATCGAAAACCGTACAGAGCTGTCAACTTAAAGGGCAATTCATGTGTCCCGTGCATCTTTTCGCATTTATCCCTGGTTCAGACCGCACCTAAGACGTTCTAGCTGCGCGCGGGATAGACGCCCCGGCCATTCGTTATCGGGGCAGTCTAACGAGTCCACCCCAAAGCTACACACACACACAAACTACACAGCCTCGGCGACGCCATACCCGGAGGTCGGGACCACCAGGTACTCTTGTGAAAACGTATTACTAGCGGAGGGCTCTGCCCGAACGCACGCTGTTCTCTAGTCTTACCGGGGAGTCCGTAGTCCGCCCGGTAATCCCTATTCATCGGGTTGGTAGATAAGTACTGGGATGAGAACACTAAGAACAGGTACTCGTGAGCAATTGAAATGGTAAATTGAAATCTAGTGTTAGTCTGCAGACGCGACACACAAACGAGGAATCTGGCGGTAATATTATCCGTAATTGAATTAGATCATTACAATACGTCAAACATTCATTACGACTTATGTTACAGATAAGTCTGGCAATCTTTGCCTGAGAAAGCAGCACCTGTTTGTTGGAGAAGATTGGTAAAACGATTGGAATGTGTATGTCAAATTAGCGTATTGTGGTTCAAACACATTTTTATACAAGAAAACCGTGCCAAATATTACTGTGCCATGGCTTTACGTATACTGCCACGATCTCGTCGGCAGGAAAACATTCTCAACAACGAACTTAGGAGTTGAGGCGTATGCCCAGAAAGAATGATTTGTGGAACTCAATCACATGTAACAATGTAAAATGGACTTACGCTCGGCCACAATCCAACCAGATATGAAACGACACCCGCGCTGTGGCCGACGGTGTTACACGTTCGTCTAGTAAATGGCTTTTCATTCTAGTTTTGAACAGCCCTAAATTTGCTGTATTCATCAGGAATGATGAATAGGTGGCAAGTCAATGAAATAAGAATGGAGTGTTCCGGACGTTTAGCGAACCGAAGGAATGGTGAGGAATGGGAATGGTGAGGTTGGAACTAAATTGTAAAGTTCTTACGCTTTTTCTCTGCGTTTACGTTACGTTTTGTTGCCGAGTAGTTTGCTTGTGGATCTATTGCCCGATAATTACTGAGGGCCTTTTCAAAATGAGAATAAATAGGCACTTTCTAAGCAAGCATACTTTTTACACAGTAAGATAAAATATAGAAACACAAAAAAAGAAAAAAGTGATTCTCAGCAGTTCACGTTTAATATTTTAAATAAAGCGTTTTTTAAGTGCACGTAAACGACATATGGCACAACAATATTATATAAATGAAGTAATAATTATAAATTAATAATAAAGATAATATTATTAAGTATATAAATAAAAATATGATTATTAATTACTTGTATTGTGTCTCAACCGAAGACTTATGATAAATCACATATTTTGAATATAGAGGCAAATATCATAAGATTACAAAATATTGTAGAACTACAATATTTTGTAATCTTATGATATTACATGAACATGTAGTAGAGAGCCAACACAAACACTCCAGTGTACTCCGATTTGCTGCCGAGGATCGGCAGGGAATGTTTAATAACCACTATGCACATTCCAACGTCTCGAGTCGCTTCTCCACATCTCTCCACAGAGGTGTGGGGCGGACCTCTCCAGGCCGTTTGTTTAATACATTCTCCTTAAAACGGTTCACACGTCGACAGCAAGCGAATATGATATAAATTTATTTGTAGGTGGTTTCATATGTATATCCAACAACATGGCAATCAATTGACCGTGCTAAGGTTTTGTAACAGTTCGCTATTTCAAAAAACCGGCGAAGATGACACCTGTTTTAGGCTCATTAAAAGCTACTTGAAAAACATATCTAAATACTTTGTGCCATTTTTACAAAGCTTTTGCTCAGGAGGTATTTCTTTTACAATGTCTGTTATAATTGTCGTTAAAACATATCTGTCATTTCTTGTTTTATTGCAACTAAATAGCTCCACGTCCCGAACATTTTGTTACATTTTGCAAAACATCATCTAAACTTTTGGCTGTATGGGAATGACACGTTATCTTTGGGTCGGCGCTATGTACTTCTGTGGATGAAACAGTGACATGGTTCAACCTGTTTTTGACTACACTTTTTAACATATTTGCACCAATACGGAAAGTCACAGTAAAAGATAAAAACAAAACATGGCTGATTAGTAATGTTAAGTATATGATTGAGTTGCGTAACACTGCACACAACAATCTCAAAAAATCTAATGACGATTCCAATAAAAAACAGTATAAAATGTG